ATACAGTAATACCCCGAACTTACGCGATAGGTGGGACCGAGCGATAACCGCGTAAGTCGAATTCGCGTAAGTCGGGGTATAATTTCGCAATTTGTGTAAAACCCAAGTCGGATGTATGTAAGCTAATAAATGTTCTTGTTAATCTTATCTCATCTTTTGATTCGTTTACGGTTAGAAGAAATCACCACATAGAGTCTCTCAAGTCTCCGTATATATAACAAACACAGAAATAAATAACACAAAATAAATTGTGGCTATGTGTCGATTCCGCGCGACACGTCTGAACATGTAAGCCGAACAATAGTGTGGGGGGATTGAGTAGTCGAGAGTTGCTTGGCGCTCAAACAAAAGACGAATCGACGAGATTTGAAAATCGCGTAACTCCGGGTTCGCGTAAGTCGGGGTAGCGTAAGTCGAGGTATTACTGTATTGTTTATTAAAAAAATAATATAAATGCTTCAGAAAAAGTCTTTGACAAAGTTAAAATGAACAGATGACACCAATAATTTCTAGGAAAAAAGCATTAATGCTGAGGAGATAGAATGAAATCAAATTATGCCAATAAATAGTAAACTACCTCTCTTGTCTGAAACATGTTCTGGCCGTGTAACCGGCTCACATATTTCTTGTCTTCCACGTCTTGCACCTCTCCCGGCACTCTCGCCACTTATTTGTGCTGAAGCAACAGCTCTTGTTAATGCCTCCACATCTCCGGGTCTTTGTTCAGACCTAACTCCTCCACGTCGAATGGCTCTACCACTACCACCAGGAACTGATCTAGCTGCTTGAATTGATTCTGGTCCTGGCTGCTCACAAAATATTAATTCAAATACAAAAGTCAATACTATTGTAAGACCACCTACTCTCTAATATTTTATTAGTAATTTTAAACAATAGTATTTACAAATATGGTCTTAGTACTTTAATTACAGACTGTAATTATATCACTTCAACATAAATCTGAATTCACACAAACTAATGTTAAATATTAGTTGAAATTTTGCACAACTTCATGTAAATGTGTAAATATAATTTTGGTGAAACTTAGTGTACGAATGCATTTTATATGCATGGGAGACCTTATAAAATTATCCTGAAAATTTCATTTTTCAGCTTAAAATTCAAATGTTTGTTGTTAAAATATTGTCCAAAAGCAAAGCTCTAGCATTAAATTTCTCATATAAATTAACAAAAATTATTCAATATCTACTTAAATTATACCTATTAATTTTATGGCATGTAAGACACAATACTAAAATAATTTTCTGAGTAATACATTTTTCATTACTACTTTTAAATGATAAAACTTTATTGTTTAAGGAATAAACATTTCTAAAATTTTACAAATCTTGTTAAAACTTGAAAGTTATCATTCTAATCAGTAAAAGTAAGTTTCACTGTACGTACACTGTACAGTGAATCATTTTTTGTACACTGAAAATGTACAGTGAATTGTTTTATTATTTTAACAATGTCTTTTATTACTATACTGTTTGTTTTAACTATACTGATCTAAGCATCAAATCAGCACATTTAATCAAATACTTGTAACAGTGATCTGTAATCAATGATTTGTAATCGGTAATAAAGTGATTTTCTAAGGCTGATCTTGTGTCCAGTGATGGTGTAATAAGTCTAGCATATTGCTCACAAGTACAGAAATTTAAAAATCACAAGTATAGAAATTTAATTTTATTTCAGATTATTAAAAGCTTAAAATAGGATCAAGAGCTAGTTCTGTTAAACCAGAAAACCATTAAAAGTAATCATTAAATTAAATCAAAAGTTATATATTGAATATACCTGCTGCTGCTGCATACTAGGAGGCTCGGGTCTTCTCTTGTCTCCAGGTCTACGCACCTGCGCCTGATCCATTGACATGTCACAGATTATTATTATAATAAAGATGTTCTGAAATAAAAATAACAACAAAAAATTAATGAAAATTATTAGGAAACATTAGGTGGGTCAGTATAGAAATTAATTTTATCTCCACTTAAATAATAATAATAACAGTTACTTATAGGTTCAGTCATTCTACGGCAAGCACACAAACAACACAGAAACATACACATGGCATACATAGACTACAGAAAAGCATTCGATAGTTGGCTGCTACATATTCTACTTATGTGCAAAATACATCCATCACTCATTGCATTCTTCAAAAACACTATGCAGCACTGAAGAACAATTATATCTCAGGGTTAGTAACACTTCCATACAAACACATGAGATATTCATTAGGCGAAAAATTTTTCAAGGAGATTCCTTGAGTCCTCTCTGGTTCTGCCTAGCCCTGAATCCATTATCCGACATGTTAAACAACACGCGTTACGGCTACAATATCAGACACAAAAAAACAACACAGTTTACACTGTCACATCTCATGTACATGGACGACATAAAACTTTATGCGTCCACACAGAAACAACTTCATCAACTCCTACAAATCACACACTCATACACTAAGGACATACAAATGGAGTTTGGTTCAGACAAATGCAAAAAACTTCACATAGAAAAAGGAATCCTGAAGAAAGAAGAGTTTGCACTTAAAAATGGAGACGTTATTGAATCCATGGAAGAGGACGAGTTTTACAAGTATTTAGGATTCCAACAGGCCAAACTAACGGAACATACACAAATAAAGCAAAGATTAATTAAAGAATACTAAACTAGGTTAAATGCCATTCTCAAAACACAGCTAAATGCAAAACACACAGTTAAAGCAATAAATACATATGTCATCCCAGTACTCACATACTCTTTTGGAGTTATACATTGGACTCACACAGATCTCGAGCAACTCCAAAGAAAAACAAGAACAACTCTTACTAAGCATAAACAATATCATCCTAAATCCGCCACAGAAAGATTAACCCTTCCACGTAAAGATGGCGACATAGTTAACCTTCACTACAAACAAATACAGTCACTGCGAGAGTTTTTCTACAGGAAACAAGAAACATCACAATTACATAAAGCAGTAACTCTAACAGACTTAAATAGCACACCATTAAATTTACACTCACAACACATAGACATGACACAACACATAAAAATCATAGACACCATCAATCAATCGTGGGCTCGAAAGGCACTCCATGACAGGCATCCTTATGACCAGGCCCAGGATTTTGTTGACAAAACTGCATCAAACAGCTGGTTAGATCGGGGATGCCTCTTTGGGGAGACGGAAGGATTCATGATTGCCATACAGGATCAGGTCATAAATACTAAAAACTACAGAAAGCACATACTCAATGATACAACACTCACAAATGACACATGCAGAAAATGTCATATCATCCCAGAAACTATACAACACGTCACTTCTGGGTGCAAGCTCTTGGCACAGACAGATTATTTATACAGACATAATCAAGTAGCAAATATAATACACCAAGAGCTTGCAAACAAACACAAATTGGTAGACATCCACAAACCATACTACAAGTATATACTATAAACAGTATTGGAAAACAATACGCACAAAATGTACTACGACAGAGCCATAATCACAGATAAAACAATTTACCACAACAGACCAGACATCACACTCATTGCAAACACAATAAAATCACATACATTAAAGACGTAGCCATTCCAAACACTCACAATGTACAAAACACATGCACAGAAAAAATTAGCAAGTACACAGAACTTGCCCAAGAAATATGGCATCTGTGGAGGATGGATAGGGTGCTTATTGTACCTGTCGTTCTCTTCTGTACTGGTGTGATACCACACACACTACACAAAAGCCTGGGGACATTACAATTGAGTAGAAATGCATACATCACACTATAGAAGGCTACTATATTGAATACATGCCACATTGTTAGGAAATTCCTGAATACAGACACACACACTGACACACTTCTTTAATTTTAGTTTTGTTTTGGTTGCTATGCCTCGACTTTGGTCCGGCATAGTACACAGCCATCGGTGTGAACCGAGTATAACTCACAAAACATAACAATAATAATAATATGTTTAAAAATTTGGTGAAGTAAAACACTCAAGTTGTAATTTTGATTTATATTTAATAAAAAATTTATTAATTTTTATTTATAATTTATTGTTATTTGTAGAGTACATAGTCAAATTTATTTTTAGGAAAAATCTGACAAGGTCGGAAGAACATTGTCAACTATTACATTGCATGAGAATTCTCGAAAATAGTACAGTGTGATCGGTTAACGAACATAATCTGTTCCAAGACTTTGTTCATTAACCGATTATCGATTTACCATAGGTTTTTATGGGAATTTGATTAATTTGATTCGGCGACTCCAAAAAATAAATATAAATAAACGTAGTAAAAAAATATATGTGAAAGTAAAAATAGATATATATATGCAGTCTTGCATTTTTATTAGTCATGGTTTTTTCCATTTGTGGGATTAAAGAATCTGTCCAATGTCGATTGTTTTTCTCTTTTCTTCGGTATTTTTCAGAAGTAATTAATAGTATTGTAATTGTAGAGATCCCCAACCCCATTAACTTTATTCTGGTTTGGATGCCACTTAAATGATCATTGTTCTGACATCTCTGGAGTTCGTCTGTCATCAGATCAGTTTCAGGTTCCATTATGAGCTCTAAAATGCTCTTTATTTTTCAGATGTAATTTTTATTACTCCATTAGCAGCTTGAGACTTCTTGATATATCTTTTATAGATAAGATTGTGACTACTGTAGATCTGCTCAAGCCATTTTTTTATACATACAGATTATTATTTAATAGTTTACAAATCACAATACTTTATACTGTTTAAACAGTATATATACAAACGTACACGTATACATACATTTGATGGGAATCATATCCCCTAATGGGGATCAGTCTTTCCCCGCACCGCTTTTGCATAACGGGGCTTAGATACAATATTCTTTACAGTGACTTATACTTCAATTACAATTATACAAAAATAATAATAAAATAAAATAAATAAAATAAAAATAAAATAAAACGGGGAAAAATGGCTTCAATTTATGGTAATTATAAACTCTAATGGTACCAGCATTCTTCTATAGTAAACGTTTTAGACATGCCACATAATCGTGATGCGTGCATTAATCTTTGTTTCTAAGAAAAACTATTTCTAGTCTTTACCTCGAGTACAAAATATAAACAAATTCTTCGACAATTCTGTTCGTTTTCGAAACAAATTCTCCTTTGTTAATCGACACCAAGTTATAAAATGTCATATTAGACCAACCATTAAAGTTGTGTAGTTTTTTTTTTATGTTATTAATGAAACCCGATGAACGTGAGTGCTTTTATCGCAGATTAAATAGGTTTGTATAAATCATTTATTAAATATCTTCCGCGAACAACGAAAAAAAAATTGCAGGTAAATGAAATTTCAGAAGCACGTACGTTGTAAAGAATGTAAATTGTCAATGCATGGCTATTGTGCAGGATAGTAAGAGGAAGAGCAAGCTGATTTGTCATCGCAGGAGAACAGGAAGTTGGGCTTAACGTNTGTATAAATAAAAATAAAATAAAATAAAATAAAAAAAATATATCCCACTGAGCAACTTGCTCAGGAAAATTAATTATAATTTAACCCGAGTTACTTTTCTCTGTATGATCTTCTTAAAAAAGGTAACGAGCTGCCTATACGTTTTTTTGTTCCTGATTAATTGGTACACACTACAGGACCAGCGTAACCCTTCTTCCAATACAACGATTTCGACATAATGTCTTTCAGATGTCCATTCCAAGCAATCATAAATGAGATGGTACAAAGTCTCCATCTCCTCTCCACATACACATTCATTTTGTTCATCCAAATGAAACCTGCTCCTATATTCTCCGAGACCATCGTGTCTCGAAAGACAAATCATAAGTTCACGCTCTTTCCCAAACCACTTAAGATGGGAGAGTCTTTCATCAATATTTGGGAGTAAGTCGAAGGTTTTCCTCCCTTTTATACTATTTGTCCAAATCTGTTGCCATTTTTCTATTATTTTACTTTTTAATGCCTCCTTTCCCCAGGACTGTGGAATTGTGTTAAACACTTTTTCGTTACCAGTGGCAGCTTCTTTGGCCAGAAAATCGGCCCGTTCATTCCCATATATACCGACATGTGCTCTGACCCATTTAAAATAAAACTTCTCTATTAGACCATGTTCTCTGAGTTTTGTCTGAATACCTGCTGATGTTAGTCAGGGCCTGAAGAGCACTACGACTATCTGTATTAATACAGACATCTTCTTTCCGTTCATGTTTTATACACCATTCAACAGCTTTGTCTATGGCCAATAACTCGGCTTGAAAATTGGAGCAATATGCTTCCAATGTAACTTTGTCACTATGAATTTCTTTATTATGCTCATAAACTACGAAAGCGGCCCCAGTGCCTGAATCACACCTAGAGCCGTCCGTATATATATCAGTCTTAATTAGGTCATCAGCCAGCAGCCTTACCCCTACACTTTCAGCTGGGTGAGGCAGTTCCTTTACTAAGATATCGCGTTCATAATTATTTAGATCAATTGGAATATCGATCCTGTTATCCTGTCCGCCTTTCTTTAGCCAATACCTCTGAGCTCTTTCCTCTATTATTAATTCAAGAGGCGCTTTTCCCGCCAACACCATAAGAGCCTCTGTAGATGTAGTCTTAAAACACCTTGTAAGTTTCAAAAGAGCAGTCCTTTGAGCCTGCCTAAGGCACCTCATCTGATTTGTATTTCTGACCTTATCACTCCATACCGAAGCTGCATAAGTTATTATTGGTATAAACATACCATCATATATAGCTTCCATTGCTTCTGACTTGAGCCCCCAGGTCCCATAAACAACCTGGGACAACTTATTAAAAATTATATTAAATTTTTTCTTTAACTGCTTTACATGCATATTCCAGCTCAACCTGTTATCGATAATTACACCCAGGTAT